TTTAATTACACAAGTTTATTGTATTAAATCAATGGAATGAAATACAAAAATATGTAAATTATGTAAATCAATACTCCAATCTGCAATTTGTTAACATAATAAGTATGCATGTATTCATGAAACAATGGATATTTGCAATTACAATAAACTATCAAACTGAATTAAAATTCATGAAAATCTTCTTATATAGGGATTAAAAGTTGGGCTCCATAAATACATAAGAACATGTACCTCCTCGTATCACTGCGAAGTCTACCCTAATAGGGAGTGTGAAACAATAAATAAGTTAGTAAAGGTAAATGTGTGTATTTTACGATGCTTTAAAGTAATTGAATATAAGATTGTGCGAAATTTATTGTAATGTTAATTATAATTATTTGTTAATTGCCAACGGTACATTCTTATCGAGATAAGGCGAGAGCAGCTGAACGCGAGAGCCTCACGTCGCTCTGTCTCACGTGGTCAGCGCTCGAGTTAATATTTTGTTACCAGATGCGAGGGTGTGCCGCAAATTCAGTCACAAAAGTCTAATCATTTCGCGATTTGAGTAAAAACGGGGCAATCCGAAGCGACCATTGTAAGAGTCCCGCCGAAATTCATATCAGAAGAATTAGTGCATGGTATTGAATGTAATACAGAGTGTTCTAATAATAAAGAAAAAAAAGCAAGTTTCAAACAAAAGAGAGAGCCAATCAGTTTAAGTAGCTTATTTATCTGATTGCAACTTTGTAACGCCGCGACCACTGTATTTAACAGATGAAATAAGGCACACGAAAATAAATAATGGACTTGTGCCATTGAGCTTGTATACGGCCAACATAAATACACGTGTTAATTTGTTTTCATACATAAGTAGAGCAACGTGCACGACAGGTATAAATTCCTTTTCATGTTTCGGTATATACGACCTTGTATAATGCATTTTCCTAATACCAATGATTTTATGAAAGCGTCGAGCCTTCGTAGATTTATTTACCAAAAACGTGTTAAAATATTTGTAAGATGACCTTTTAATTTTAAATATAAATATGAGATTCACAGGACAATTATAGAAATAATTTTGGTAACGAACAATATCTTTCTGAGAAACCAGTGGGAAAATATCCACAGAAAATTCGACGAATGTAACAAAAATATATGTAGCTATCATGACTCAGATGCTCATAAAAACTGTATACTAACGACGCAACTTTAAGGGAAACAGTTGCGTATCGTGGACCACTCTGTTTCCACAGAAAACATATGATCAAGGGATGTAACTTTTGGTGACGAAAATAAGTTCTACGCTTCCAAACTACTCGAGATGACTCTAAACACGAAGGTATAACTATATTTAAAAATTATAAGTATTTCGTAATTAAAAGTTACTTCGTTTTTGTATGCATTTTATTGGTATTTATTTTAATTATATTAAATAGAATTAAAATTTTGGTAGCATAAGTAAAGTAAAAAAATATAATCGGCAGAAATTCTTTTGACTGCCATTTAAGGGCTCTTAACTTACACGTAATGAATAGTACAGCGCAGTGATAAGATCAATCATTTTCGCCGCGTTTTCCTTTCTATTTTGAATTGTCTCAATAGTCACAGTACCATATCCAAAAAATTGTCTATCTTTTAATATTTCATTGGATGAACAATCAGTTTTTCCATTCACAAAAAACTCTACGAAGGAATCCACTGTCGACATATACTTCATACTCAATTTTTCGAAGAATATTTTCACTTTTTAATTACGATTCTTTTTAATTAGTATAACATATTATATGGTGTCCATTTGCTGTGGTAATTAACAATTACAAAATCCATATTTATATTCCATTTTCATTTAATTTCCACACTAAAAATAACATCACTTATAGAACACTGTTTCAAATTTCATCCAAACTTATTGACAATCAGTCCTATTTTTTATTTCACTCTATTCTTTTATTACAATAGTCATACAAATTTTATGTCTAACAAATTTCCAATAGAGATCCTATCCCCTCACAAAAGCTAACAACGAAACGTCTAACTACCACCGGTTGGCAAAACATGAACATCACAACTGTTGCTTCTCTCTGATCGCTTTTAGTTCGGTCCAATTTTATTTTTGTTTTTTTTTTACCCTCCTATCTTCCTTTCTCTCTCGCTCTCTGTTTCAACCGACTCCTCTCCCCCGAAACCATTTTACCGATGTGACAACGCGATTCATTCTATTCTGTCTGGTGATGGCCTTAAACCTGTCGGCGTATTAAATTCGCATCATTGAGATTAGATCTATCATAGAATGTTTTGATCACTACTTTTCAAAGGAATAATAGATTCTGAATTTTGTTTTGTACGTTACTTCAGTTAATAAAACTTTAAGAATAATTTTTGTTTTCCTTGATATGGGTTCGAAAAGTTATGCTAAAATATTTAATTTATTTGCTATAAAATTATTATTCTGCCTTATCACAAGAAAATTTTTCAATTTTACATCAGTAATAAATTCAATTTTCAAAAAATATACATTTGTCTACTATACAGGGTGTTTCAGAATGCACGACTTTGGAGTTGACTTTGAAGCTTTCCGAAGTACGGCAGGGGGTCCTGTTATGGCTAAGTCACTTGAAATAGATAGGCCCAAAGAGCAATACTTTACAGAGTATGGTACTTCCTTCACTGTCAAAGAATTGCGGGAACTATATATTGCCGAAAAGGAAGCGGAAAGGCATCTTTTGGGCCTGCCGTTCTTAACGCAGACCATACGCGTCTACATATATTTCAAGTGGCTTACTGTTAACCGCAACAAAACCCCCTGCTGTGCTTCCCATTCGCACTCCACAGACATTAGTAAATTTCTCATTATGATAATGACTTATTAATATAAAAATGGATAATTAATGCGATACCAAAACTCATGTAAAGAACAAAAATAATGTCACCACATAAATGGTGGTTGTTTTATTAATTCCTTTAAATACAAGAGATTCCATTATGAACATAAATATCTTTATTTTTATATTCCTTTGTTACATAGATACCCGGTAGTGGAATGAGTTTATAGATACGTTTGAGCTTGGAAGTCTTCGCGCACAAAACCTTCTTGCGTACAATTTCATTCCACAAGTGAAAAATAAATGTAAAACTACCCAAATAAATGGAATCCTGAACAGTCTTACAATACTTCAAGAGAAGCGTAAAAAATTTGTTCAAACGAGTTCAAAGGCGTGATCCGGGTACAATTATTGACACAAGGATTAAATATAAATCGTATAAAGTATACTTGTATAAAACATTATCCGTCTTTGTCAATCTTAGATTCTCTTACTCTCTCATTTAATAATCTATTAATCATCTAAAGTGACATAGGACCGTTTAAAAGTCTGTCTTTCAAAGGCTCGTCTTTTTGTTCCTCAGTTCTTGTTTTCCATGCGGAAATACATACATATAATATATGATACAATTCGTTTAACATCTGGCATATCGGGATGTAGTAATTAATTAAAATATAGTGTAAAGTATACATTTGCTGAAAGGAAGTATATAACTTCTAATACAAGTTTTCTTCGGCAATGTTTCATCACCGATGGAACACAAGTAGGTAAATAGTCGATATACTTGAAGTTTCTATAACATGCGTCTTTTGTATACACGGCATCGGACAAAATTATAACAACTTTATGACTTTTACAAACCGTTCCAATCGATAATTTTATTTAATGAAAAAATATTGCATTTCCCTCGCAGGATAACAGATCCATTGGACAAAATTTTTCTCAGATAAAATCGTTATAATTTTACCCAGCACTACAATTATCCAACCTCGCCTTAAATTATTTTCCAAAAATTTTAACATAAAGCATATGTTAAAATATTCGCTATACTAAAATCTTAAAGCAAAAAAAAATACATGTATACGTTTTTATCGAGACCGAAGAAGAAATAAGGAAAAGAAATTGAATAAATCGATATGAATACACTACGCGGGAATGTATGATAATAGCGTCTCTTACGACACGCGACATATACATGCTGTCACGATCGCGGGATCGGTGCGTTTGAAAGAAAAATCCGGGATGATCTCATAGTAGAAAAACGCTGCATAGTAATTAGCTGATCTTTTCACGACCAAGATCTTCGCGATCAATAATTTCTCTAAATACTAAACGGAAACGATTCGGTTTGAGCAATTCTTCTCAAACAAAATAAAATAGGTCCGTTTGCTTTGGAGAACGAACACTAAATGAAAAAAATACGGAACAATTCTACTCGGATTAAACCGATAAGAAAAACGATGACGATTCCGCGCGTAGCACAAAACACGCGCGGCCATAACATTTGCACACATACGCACCCATACATCTTTACATTCATGCACACACGAGATCCTAAAGCGGTTACTTTTCCGCGGCATCGAAAGTGTCATCGCGTGTCTACAACTACTGTGCCTAATACATCACTCGTACATAGCAATTGTTCCCATCAGGCGCTAGCTAAGAGAGAATCTCAATAAATTTTCTTAACGCTTCCATATAAATGCAAACACTATTGGTAGAGTGCTTAGAAAGCCTCAACAAAGTTTTTAGCGAAAAACACTGATCATTTCAATAGTGAAATTATTCAAATAACATCCGCATTGTTTTGGATCAACGTTGCGTTTGCAATATTGCATGTGCGATACCTTGTTAAAGCAATTATCGCGTCTTACGAAAGTAAATTGACCTATTCACGAATACCGCACTGCTGTAATTAAACGAAATTTCCGGAATTCGCTTAAAAATATGTAACTTAATAAATTGGATTTACCACGTTTCGATACTATACAAATAATGATTTGTTTCATCATGGTCATTATGTTCGTCGTTCATCACATGAACGTTTATTTTGAAATTGTCAATGGTTTTCATTAAAAGTTTTGTCGCTCTTTGAGATATACACTCTATAATATCCTTCAACACATCCGAAAATTCTTCATCCGAATAAGAAAAGAATTTTCCCCCCAAAAAACGAGGCAAACGAGCCCATACTAACGATCAATCAACGAATCAGTACTTACTGATGCCTTTTAATCGTTATCTTTAAATTTTTTAATTATAATATATCATAATAGATCTAAGCAGTGACCGACTGCACATCGCTCATCTTCTTGGTAAGCTCCTGCAGGAAATCCCTGTAAATCACCGAATCCATGTTAGATGAGAGAATGTAGAGCAGCCACCAATCGCCGAGATCAATCTTCTTGCTGATGCTGTTGCAGGTTTCGATGCTAAGGGATCGTGCGGACAGGTGAAGCAATCTCGGTCTGACCGCTGGCGCGAAAATAATGGCTGCTCTGTAAACCATCAGGCCGAGCAACAGGATCGAGAGGATCGTGAACCAAAACCAGATGAAAATGTATGTCTTCTCGTTGACGATGTTCAACGGAAGAATACACAGAGAATCGTGCTTCTGTATGGTCCCTGACGCACCGTATTTGTGGAAGATGCACTTGGTTACTCGCGGGAAGACATAAACCATGGGGTCCATGCGTTCCTCTTGGGGAGCATCGGAGAATTGGAGCACTCGCAGACCATAGCTGAGAAACTCGCCATCGAAGAATCGATTCATCAGATAAAGTTGAAGGAATATGTTGATGAGACACAGCGCTTCGCAGGCGAAGTACCGGTACACATACATGTTGTGCGTCTGAAAGAACAAGCAATCGGTGAATTGACATAAATTGGACTCAATAAGGGTAAATTGGATATAACAGAAGTGTCTCGGCTCTCCCTCCTTCCCTTTCTGATCTCTTTCCCTCTTTCCACGAAGCTAAAATTTTTATTCATAAACTACAATTTATTTTAAATACTAAGCGAGGATTGAAGTCTCAGAAAAAGTACATTCTATAGTATCGAAATTTATTCAGACACGCAGAAAATAACATACGAGACGAACATGATTCTACGCATCTTATAAAACATTCCGTTATATTATAATTTTGCAACTTCTCAGTAACATTACGCAGGCGAACTTACCCTTCTGTATTGCATGAGATAATCCATTAACATGGACTTTTTCTTGTGAATATTATCCTCGCGATCCAGTCCGTGATTCATGCCCATAACCAGCGCGGTAATCAAACCGCCCTCCCACATGTTCCATAGCCATTGGGGTACGTAGCACATTATCGCCTGCAAAAATTTGCGAATATTATTGAATTTGGTTGCTTACTGATACGCGTTAAATCCACCAACTGGTCTGTTACATTTTCAGTAAAACAAATTTACTATGTAAATATTCCAAGGCAGAAGACATCTGAATCAATAAGATCGTTGACTCTAGTTACGTAAACACTTAGCGTATCCTAATTACTGAATGATGCTTCTGTTCTTAAATTTTTCATTTAGTAATTTACGAATGTGCCTATAAAAATGGTTTCTCTTACGAATTCGCGGTATAGATATGCAGTTATCAGTCTAGCAGGTTCTCCGATCTTTCGCACTCGCGAATCAGTTTCGGATATTCAATACGAGAAAGGTGAGACCGGCAGGAGAAATACAATAAAAAATTTAACCGAGAAGTCTCGCGCAGATGTCGCAACTGTCTATCGCACGTGCAAGATTACTGATAAACGAACCCTTTACCTGAAAGAACAACACGAAGCACACCCATTGGTAATAAGTGTAGTATTTCCTCGCGTCAACGTCACCGAAGTCGTTCGCCACTCCTGGATGAGCCACCTCCACGCCAACCTGATGAACAAGCCAAACGTATCATCTTTTAACAATAAAACTTTAATTTTAACTCGCATGAAACAATAAGAAGTTAATAGTACAATAAGAAACTAGTCAAAGTGAAATGATTAATTCAAAGAAAAATCCAATTGCTATGCATGGATCGGAGAAGTATACAAGGCAATTTGTCTACCTCTTCTTAGCATAATTACAAAAAATTTTATATAGGAGAGGATAACGATTAAAAATGTTTTCTTTTTATGAACCTACATTTAATGGAAAACGAATTATGTTTACGTTCTGATAATATTTATACAATTACAATTTTCATACCAAACATTGACCGAGTATTTTAATACATCTTGCCTATAACTGCCGATAAACCTATGCACGTGTGCCTCAAGTAGCATGTACTTATGTAATTTTTGCTGGCACGTAACAATTTATAAAAAACATCTGTTAGCTTCACATCACGAAATATGTATATTATGAATTAATTTTACTATCACTTCGCATTCAACAAAGCTTGATTTTCTATTAACTTTTTATCGCATTTAAAAATTGTCCGGCCTATTTGCAAGAATTTTTTGCATGCACTCGAAAAGAGGTTTGCCATCACGGACCCATAATATAAGTACGTAACGCATGTATATATAAATACATAATACGTCCATGCACATACTAAAGTAGAAATCTATTGCTTTTCAAATGCATCTTGTTCGTTCAATTCAGATAAAACAAACTGACAATGAGATTTATATTTATTTATTCCAATTTATATATATATATTTATTTATATATGAACATGTCTCGATATGATGTACGCTACTATTACACGTCTTCGTAATTCATCCAACAGTTCATTCTCTGTTTACAATTAAAGTATTTGTCCATGTAACATTTGACATGATATAATTTTTAATGGTTTCTTATTTTTTAAAAGTAATCGCGACAAAATAGTAGATTATAAACTCGTAATGTAAGCGTATTAATTAGTATAATGCTAATGCTACAAATCAATAGAAAAAAGATTGATAACCTTGATAATCCAAAACGATTTCATAATTCAATGTTTCAACTTACGATTACATAATTTTATTATCTACATCACACGTTGAAGTTGCTAAAACCTTCCAAATAATGGAATATTACAAACTATTTTTCAATCATAGGCGCGAAAACAAATATTTGCACAAAAATAAGTAAAATAAGATAAAGTAAAAATAGATCCTGTCTACGTTCATTCACAAATAATATAATTTTGTTATATGATTATTTTTGCAAATTTAATAAAATATACTATAATTGAAATAAATTGTACATATGTATGGAAGGACTTGTAATATTCCACATAGAAGACGAAGAGGAATAGAAACGCGATAATATTTCATACGCTTACAAAGATAGAAATATGTAAATATCCTCGTTAAAAAACACGACGTGGCACAAAATGAAGATGAGTATTCAATGTTAAAAATAACGCTAGGTTTTCAATAATTGATAACAAGTATCTTGTAATCATCAACCTCGAAGGCTACATTAAGCAATAAAATTCTGATGTAAATGCAGTACATATGTGCATGCTGTAACTTGCGTCATACCGCGTAACAATTCAATGTAACCCCAAGATTAGTTTTATGGAAACCGGTCGAGGGAACGTTTTTCTACAGTTATCAACGAGCCATACCTCCGAAGGTCGGCCGTGAACATCACGGAGGTCAGAGACAAGTGGTTCATGATTTGATAACCGGTGATTAAAAAATCGGTATAGTTCTAAAGTCGAAAAATTAGGGGACGCAACCGATTAAATGAGGTTACCCACCTGCCGATTGAATGCGTCCGGCATAGTAAACGTAGACGTTATCCAGCAATAAGTGTTAATAGGGTGTGTGGGTAAACCCTGAACGATACATGAGATCGGATTACCCACGTATTGGGTGGCCGTGATTATCACCGAACACGTGAAAAGCAGCACCGTTGTGAAATGATTGTGCAACCGAAACACCATTGAATCCGTTGAGATCTCCTGCCATTTTAGATATTGTCCGAGGCTTCCTAATAACTTGTACATGATTACTCTGTCCCGTCGTCGAACGGCGCGTTGTTTACAGTCCTAGTCAACAGATATGCGTCCTTCTCTTTCACACGATTTGTATTCCCACGTGGCCGGATTTCGTTCATACAAGGATAAACAAAAGAAAAAAGACAACACGTATCGAATCTGTATCAACTGAAACTTCCGCGAGTCCTCATCTCCCGTGGCTTAGGCTTGAAAAGCGGTAAAACGAAACGAAACAGACACACGATCTGTACACGGGTCTGTGTCCACGCGGCGTGCCTCCCTCTTTTCCTTTTCTCCCGTTTCTCCTTCTCCTTCAGCGTCCTTCTTCCTTTTCTTCCACCCTACTCCTGCTGCCTGCAGTCGACGTTTCTGTTGCTTCTCCGGGGCGAAGAGAACACACGCGCGCCTGCGATCGGTCACCGAACCACGTTCGAACGAGATCGAGAGCAGACCTTATTTACGGCTCCAGGCCTTGTACATAGGTCTGCGTTTTTCTTCGGGAAATCAACTTCGAGATGCTTCTATTATCGACATTTTTTAAACGATCGATTGGTACGCGTTTTCTGGGCCGATTACAATCGTACGACAATCCTTCCTTTCGCGCCAGATCTCTTCCCGTTCGTTATTTACATAGGACCGAAGTCGAAGAAAGACGCGCGCTCTTTTTCGTTAGGTCCGCTCTGAATAGCCACCTGCGTATCGGAGCTGCGATACTCACTGTCAATTCCGCGATATCCTCCGTCAGACGAGGATCTCTCGGTGAGAAAACGCGCAACCTGACGCAGAATAATTGTGCAACACCTTGAACTTCTCCGGCGTGCTACGAGCTCCCTCTTTCTCTCCTTCTCCTACCTAACCCTCTTCGCGCCCTCTCTCTCTCTTTCCTTCTATCTCCTGTCTGTCCGCGCGGCACTTTTTTTCTCGATTACAACGTGCAAGATGGATCGTATGATGAAGCGGAGTGCGAGCAGTCGAAACCGAATTGTGTCGGCATTTACACGCGTATATTATGTACGTAGCAGTCTTCAACGTCGACTGACGAGAGCAGTCAGTGGCTTGTTGTTCGGCCGAGGGGCGAGAGGGAAACTCTTTCGATCTGCTTGCTAGGGGGACTGCTGGAGTAGAAACGAGTAGGAGAAAGAGAGGGCCCAGGAGGTGGGGATCGAAACAGTGGGGGACCGACGGCTGCTTCAAACTCTTCGTCCCCCTACTCTTCACGTCGCGATACTACATTTTGTATACCCTGGTTCTATAGTGCATGCTCTTGCGTTCCAACGTCCAACCATGGCTACCGTTGTTCATTCGACTCTGTTCGCTAATTTTTTAAAGTGATTCGTTCCGACGAACTCGCCAATCCTCTTGAAGATTTACCACAAATAATGAAAGTTTTTACATACGTATCCGAAAGGACGATTCTTATTTTAGCTCTACATGTCTCGATTTTAGTTAGGATGATTGTCTAGTTTTGGATCCTAGAGCTACTGATAATTTTTATCTGTTTATTTTAGTATAAGGTGCCGTTTTGAACCCCAGTTAACTAAAATATACACATAAACTTAGATATTTACTCGAAAACTTCCTGAATTTTATCTTCTTCACACATCCTCTTCTTCCTTATACGAAAAAGTTTAATCAAACATTTTTTACCTCGACTTGGACATATTTACTTAAGGTTGTGAAAGCTTCCAGTATCATTTGAACCAGGAACCTTCTGTCGTGGTGATTTAAAGCGTCTTGAAACTGCCATTACCCACTACTACCGTTATTCTGTTCGCTCGTTTCTCTTTCTTTTCTCTTCTGACCGGTCTCTCGTGCGTCTCGGTCAGTCTCGGATATCGTAATGAAAGTAAATCGGTTTAATTCGATCGTTAAATTCAATTGAACACTGAGGTTGTCTAGAAGATCGTATATAGGACTAGCATAACCGTCTCTCGCATTCCAAATGACAATACATACTAATACTCTTAAAACTATGATCCACGTACATATGTTTATGTATATACGGAGCCGATAAGTGGAGGTGAAAGTTGGAGGAATTTTTTATTACATCGATACTATCGATAAATATTTTTTGTAGAACGTGAATGGACCAAGGACGACTACTTTTGTTAAATTATACACTTATGCCGTCTGTACATATGATAAAAAATTCCGATTATACTTACTGTTAGCAGTAATAAAGTACATGTCCAAATATCGTATCAGAATGATGAAGTATATGTTCCTAATAGATTATTATTTATGCCAATGTCATTAGTGCCATTAGAAGACACTTGCAAATTGTGTGGTAATGAAGTGTACTGCTTTCTAAATGAATTGTAAAATAATAAACTATTCGTAAGTGCTGAAAATATTGAGAATCGACGTTCTTTGTTCAGGATTTAATCAGAAATAAAGGAATCTGAAGAATATTTTGTTATTTCCATGATGACTAGCATAAGTATTTATTCATTTTCAATATTCCCTCGAAAATTATGTTACTCGGTTCACTAGGGTCAACTATGAAGACATCAATTCGCGTGTGAAGACTTCATAGGATAAGAACGGGGTACGAATTATGCAATCAATATCAGCAATTTCATGTTGTTCGCTGAGTTCGTCTCCCCTTTTCTCTTTCTCTCTCCTTTGTTCCACGCTTTTATTCTGTCGCTTCACGTTCACGAAGGGTGCACGCTACGGCTGTGTAAGTACGTGACCAGATGTGCATCTCCTGAAAGGACTGCATTTTACCCCACGAAACGGAAATACCAGCATCCCTTTTCCTCCGCCTGCGTTCTTTTAAAGCTGAATTTACACGCTCACTTTGCTCGAATAGTGTAGCTGATATAATCAATCTCAAATTAAATGTCACCTATCTCATACATCATCCTAATTATCTTTGTTAGACAATGATAAAATTTGTTTTCCTTGTCTCTATCTTTGTTAGGCACTGATAAGATTTGTTTTTCTCGTTATACTATGATCGCAAACTTATCATACGAAGGACGAATTCAATTGAAAAAAAGGGGCGGCAGATTAGGAATTTAAGTGAACAATTAGAATTGCTATTTATATTGTTCACTTTCAGTTTTATTAGATCGACATTATTCCAGCTAATAGAGAGAAGTATAATATTAAACAAAACTCAGTAATTGCACTATATAATACAAGAAATGCATACATAACGAAGAAGTATTGTCCAACTGAAGCGTATAAATTCGCCTTCATAGGCTGGTATTGCTACTCTTTAGAATATTAGGTTTCTGTAGAAATAATGAGCAACTTTAATGTTCACCCAGGCATGAAAGAGTCTTGGACCATTTCAAATTTTTCTTTTCCGTGCATTTATAATTTTACGCTTGTTTTCCAGATTCTGTTTTTACGTGATCGTACGTTCTATTAATTTTATATTACGTAGCAAAGCGAATTCAGAAAACATTGCATCACAGATTAGTAAGTATTCATAGGAATCTGAACGAAATAAGAACAAACGAATAACAAAATTAAAAATATGCATCGAAAATTTATGTAATAATATATATTATATTTAGAAACGTTATTCACAGAAAGAATATTGAATCCAAAGCACTTCTTTTTAAACACTTTCATGATATTTATTTTAGTTGTACTTTACATCGGTTTTTAACAGAAGATACAATGTAATATACTATGATCGCAAACTTATCATACGAAGGACGAATTCAATTGAAAAAAAGGGGCGGCAGATTAGGAATTTAAGTGAACAATTAGAATTGCTATTTATATTGTTCACTTTCAGTTTTATTAGATCGACATTATTCCAGCTAATAGAGAGAAGTATAATATTAAACAAAACTCAGTAATTGCACTATATAATACAAGAAATGCATACATAACGAAGAAGTATTGTCCAACTGAAGCGTATAAATTCGCCTTCATAGGCTGGTATTGCTACTCTTTAGAATATTAGGTTTCTGTAGAAATAATGAGCAACTTTAATGTTCACCCAGGCATGAAAGAGTCTTGGACCATTTCAAATTTTTCTTTTCCGTGCATTTATAATTTTACGCTTGTTTTCCAGATTCTGTTTTTACGTGATCGTACGTTCTATTAATTTTATATTACGTAGCAAAGCGAATTCAGAAAACATTGCATCACAGATTAGTAAGTATTCATAGGAATCTGAACGAAATAAGAACAAACGAATAACAAAATTAAAAATATGCATCGAAAATTTATGTAATAATATATATTATATTTAGAAACGTTATTCACAGAAAGAATATTGAATCCAAAGCACTTCTTTTTAAACACTTTCATGATATTTATTTTAGTTGTACTTTACATCGGTTTTTAACAGAAGATACAATGTAATATAATCATCATGTAAATACGAATTTAATATTTGTAAACACTTTGAACCTGCAATTTATAAAATTGTACTGTGTGAAATGAACGATTTCTTCATTTAATTCAAATAAATTAAACGGTTTTTTCTTTAGCTAAAAGTAGAGTGACAATTCCTTTTAGTCTTCTAGTATAACTATCACATGTGCATCGCATACGGGTTTATATGCTAGGTACGGATGGTTGCTCACGTAAAGGCAGCTATGACATATGTCACACACGTGTTTATGGAATTTTTCAGAACTGTCCCGAAGATAGTGCGAGAGTTCCGGTCGTTCCTTTAAATCGTTAACCTACCGCTGCTGTAGTCTTAGCTTAAATAATGTTCCACGAAAGAATACAAGTCAGGCTTTTAATCCGAGAAGTAAAACGATCCATAAACGGTCTCTAAGTATGTCTGTTACGTATCGATAGCAAAGGTAACGCGATATTGCATAAATATTTTCATACATTCAGCCACCGTTTATGGCACGTATTACTTAGTATTAGGATACCGCGCAACTGAATTTTTATCGCAACATGTAATGGAGGAAATATTTACAACTGTCTAAAACTACAAATTCTTGACAATTGAGATATGTTCCGAAATGAACTCATTTACGAAGCGATATTTGTCAAGCTATAATCAATCTGTAAAACCATAATGAACATACGAAGCTTATAATCAATTTAAGCTTCGTAATGTAAGAAATTATCTGAGAAATACAAATGTTTTATTTCCGAATGCAAAATACACGACGTGTCTTCAACAGACTGTCTCTATGCAATTCCAGGCTCGTTCAGGTCTTCCCAGGGTTTTCGGTAGAAACCCGAGGTTGCATTATCGGTCCTCAACTGAACATTGTACTCCGACACTTGGGCATCTGGGATCCGTCGGAACCTTTTGATCAAGTGACCCTCGCCACTGTCTTTCACTTACAGGAGTTCATCAATTCTTGTCTGATGATCTTTCAATGCCTTTCACTTGTATCCTTGGCTTTCCAACTGTAATGTGCCTCTAAGTAGATATTTTAAACTGACCAAATGGAATACGTAAGGACATTCGATTATTTGTGTACTACAGACGACATACATATATATTAGCGTAATTTGATAAGGGCACTACAGCCAATCAATGGTTTGGTTTGATGCTTTCGACCGACTTTCTCTCTTATCCTTGATTTTTTAATTTCACGTTTGCACTTGCACGTTTGCGGTTTATTTCGCCTTTTTTTCGGTTTCCAATATTGAACGCGAATACTGACCACAGACTCGTCACGGTCCGAGTTTTGAATTATCAGAAACGTGACTCAATGGGACGTAACGTGTATATATCAAACAGTGTGGTCAACGTTCATCGTCAGAAATCAAGTTTAGTCACAGTAAAGTTTGTTGCAGAATTTTCTTACTTGATAACCCTCTGTGTGTAATGAATTTTTCGTGTCGTTAAGTGTAAAACTGACAGCTATCCGATATTTGTATCATCTTCAAATAAAATTAATATAAAGTGACCTTGCAAATAGGATGTCAATGAATTAAAACACCATTNTCCAATATCAGCCAATAAAAATTTTGAACAAATTTCTTTTACACATTAATTATTAAACTGAGTCTACTAGCATCCCACAGAAAATTATGTTGTTTGGTCCAGTATTAAAAAGTTATTCTGTTTTAAAAGGTATTCGAATACTTTCGTTAGTCACTGTACATTGTACATGTATTATATGTACGTATGTGATGAAGAAATCTTGCGCTAATTTTATTTATAACACTTCTCCCAACCGCAAAAATGGGCAGAATAGGTCAACGACCATTTTATTATACATATACATGTATATCTGCGGTTGTTTTTTGTACGATCATGTTCCCATAAATTACGCTAGATTTGTACACGACGCGGTCGTGGTCGTGGTCCCATTTTCGTTGCAACCGGTCGCTAGTCCAAATGTGCAACGTGATGTAATCTAAGCTTTTATGCAGACGTACCGCAATACGATATCGCACGAGCCACGAGCCACCGACATCTCAGTTTCTCTGTACAGCACAAACCAACCGGTCCGATCCTCGTGACCGTGTTCGTGCAACGACACGGCGAATATGTAACAAGATAAATGTGTAAAAGAAAAGACTGAATGATGACAGAGTAAAAATTGAAAAAAATTAGATCACACAAATCTACAGTTTTAATCAGTCGAAGCCCGTTTAGATTAAATTTGGATTAGACTACATAACAATGGTCCAATAAGATAAAACTTTACTGGTGAAAGTAAATCTATCACGGCAATTAAAGAGAAAGAGAAAAGAAGTATAATTGCAAGAAGACAAATTCATTTGAGATATTTTTCCGATTCGGTATTATCTTATCAGGCGCGAGAAAAAAGGAAATCAACCTCTCCTCCTATTGAATAATATCACCCCATATTATACATATGTATAGCGTGGGTAATGTTTAAACTCGGTCAAGGTATCACTAGTTGCGTTTAGGAACAGTGTCGAACCCCTCCTATGAACAATTTGCATTCCGAGAAGAATAGCCACTTGTTACAGTGATTTCGACGATACACAAAAAATATAACAAAAATAGATAATAGGCTCGCTGTATCTATGTTTTACACCTCGAGTACTCGTTCCACGTCTTTTTCTTTCTCAAATTTCATACAATTGAGGATCGTTTCTTACGAAATTTATTAAGTCATGTCATTCTTGTCTACTGTTGCTGGTTCGAAGTTACTAGAATTATTCGAGTAAACAATATCATATTGTAATTTCAATAGATTCCATATGTATGTGTATGTATATGCGTGTACTATATATTACTACCGATATTGTAATTCCAAACCAGCAAAGATAATTTTCTGACTGTTTAAAACTGAAATCGTATGCATATAAATAATTATCTCATTTTATTGAGTGCGATGACTTTAGGAGATCAGACTTTCAAAATGATCAACTCCATTCTCTTATAGTTAGTAAAAATTAATGATATCATAGTTTTGACCTTATAATCAGTTTCACTCCAATTAATTCTGAAACGCTTAGCGTTCAATTTGATTGACGTCTACGTTACATACTTACATTATCTTCTAGTGTTCTACTGCTGTTTGTACTAATTATATTTTGCGATTATAATTATTTTACTGCTTTCAAATATGATTCCTAAATTAATATTTTGTTAGTAATGAATGTTTTTATAAAGCATACAATTAATTACAGATAAATAATTCAAAATGGAGACTGCCAACAGAAGATGTATAATACTTCTATTTTAACGATATTAGAATAAAGTGAAGGGAAGAATTTAAAAACATATTGAATGTTGTAATAAGTAATGCACGTACAGCAATTAAAATTCCATTGTTACATACGTACAGATACGAATACTCGATCCTGTTACTTTGTTCACAATCACGAATACTAGTATTATAGTATATACGCCGGAGTTTAATGTTCGGTCCCCTGCTACTGCCGCGTGCTTTATACGCGTCCTTAGTCGCAATTATCTTAATTAGAGTTCGTTTATGGAGGACGACAATCGCTCGTTTTGCCAGCGAAAAATTATTCTTTCCTCCTCGCTTTCGAACTGAACCGCGCTATTTACGAACACCACTCACAATAAATCTTATTGTTACGAACCAGGTTTCTTCATCATCTGTCAAAAAACCATGACCGTCATACGATACAATCTTCCAGCGTCAAATTATTGCGTTTTAACCCTAGACGACATTCTTATCGTTACTACATAAACGAGATGAATAAAATTTTCCTATTGTTAATAATCTTGTTAACTAGGACACCTAATTAAAAATATTTACATTTGCGTTGTCTGGTCCAATATTAAAAAGGCTATTCTGTTCTATAAGCTTTGCGAATAATTTCATGTGCTACGATACATGTATGCATAATTTGATGTTGCGCATATAAACTCACGTGAATCAAACACTGTCTTATCACAAAACATTTACACCTACAAGTACATCTGGTAATCACTGAAAATGAGACACACTGTACCAGCTAATTTAACTCTGTGAAACCTTCAGTGTTGCATAATCTCCAGTATTCTGTTATTCATTGTCCATAAACGTTCAATTGGCCCGGATGCGTTACACCGTAAACGGCGTTTCCTCCGGCATGGCATCTTACAAAAGTGCAGCGATCGCGAGTCGTTCTCCCACAGCGTTACGTAAACTCGTTTCTGAAATTCTCTCTTCTACTACCAACATACGCACGTTGATAGATGCACCGTGATTTTAAGTGCACAAAACGATGAATTCAGATTTACGATAAGTGCGATGTAGATTTTCCGGTCGATATATCGGGATCTGAATCATAAGCGGAGTTTGCATTCCTTTTATACGGATTATGTAGTTGCAATTCGCGCGTTCTGGATAAAGAATGTTAAGAAGTTATCGTGTCAACATCGATAAAAATCGCATTCGTAGCTACAGATTAGTCTTACGTAGAACTTGATCTTTTGACTTGCTCGTAACTCCGTTACTATTCCGAGAGCCTAACGTCAATCTTTTTTCATCTTATTCATAATAACATGAAGATAATTTATAACCGCGAAGCAACATGCGAGCATATATTACACCAAGAATTTGTATTTTTACTCTAAACTTTCAAGTAAAGAAAATTGTACGAAAGTGATTAAAGCTGGCAGAAAGTATTATTTTGTGTTTTTTTCTAAAAAATAAACGATTTACAAGATATTCTCTTTTTAGCTTTAAATTGTTCCTGATATTAAGGTATTCAAGTGATGGATAAACGACTATCAAAGGTTTGATTTTTCTTATGAAAATCTTTGAGATGTAGCATCTTCCACCACAGATACTTTCACGAGAAGAAACGAGCGGAGCATCGATTCTCCGAACATATTCTTGAATCTTGTCAAACCGGTTTTCGTGGCCAGCATCAGCTTGAGAACCACTGCGGGTCAATCGTGTCAATTGTGACGAATGTATGTCGACTCTGTGGCCAGTCTGGTCCTTGTAATTTCTCGAATCAAGCCGAACAATCCAAGTCGTACGTACAACATGCATACGACAACGTGTACCAAATAACAATGAGAATAATAATAACACCGATTGAAATCACGCGTACAGGCCGTACTATTTTTTAATCGAATAAAAATATTATTTAACCATTTTTTAAATATAATTACAAGATTATTAAAATTCAACGTAACTGAATCGTATTTTGTAACTACAAAATCAATGAAAAATATCATAAGCGTAAGTAAAAAATTTTATGACACACAATGTACATATATTCAGAAATTTAATTTATTTTAATTTAATTTGTCATCATGTAAAATAATGCGATTAAATATATATATAATTATGTATGTATATTAGTTTCATTATAATTCATCACTTACATTGAATATTTTTTATATGAACATAGTAATCACTTTATTCACGTATCTGTTATTCGATTACTTGACATGAGTATACTCAATGCAAGCTTAATAACTACAAAGTTAATTTCTTAGTAGAAGCAAATGACAATGGTCATCTTTCTAAGAAATTCTTAGTAGAAGCTATGCTTGCGCGACATAAAGAACGCTAGAAGATATATAGGTGTATCAGGTAGGTATATATTTTTATTACGTCATCGCTGATGGATTATTAAGGATCATAAGTACATACGCAAGCATGTAACAAAAACATGTGTTAGTATTAAACATAATTGATAACGTTATCAAACATGTAGTTACTAAAATTACGAGTAGACGCAAAAGAACGTAACAAGCCAAACAAAATGAACACAATAGCGAGATATTTGATAATATCATTATCTTATACTGTTAACAATAAAAATATGATTAAATTGGAGTACACTCATAAGAGATAAATCTAAAATAAAAGGAGATACAAAGTAAAACATTTGTAGCTTAAAAATCTCTACCAATATTATAGTTGAGAGATTTCTCTTCCAGTTGCACTTATGTGCTCATAGAAGTACATATGAAACTGTGCCTTAAGAACTCGCAGACCAATTAAGGTTTTAAGAAGAAACAAGTTAGAAAGCAGCTTTTGCACCGTTCTGTACAATCTTTCATGATTCCACGTATGTTGTGTGCTCAGTTATTCGAGAAGACGGTGGAAGCCACGAATATAAACAACGGTGCTGTTGTACCAAGTCTCCGGGCTTTATTCAGTGTGCGTCTTTCATATTGGCGTGGTCGCAGGCGAGCGTCCACAGACCACGTGTGCATGGATAATGAGGTTAACGTACAGTCATCAAGAAAGGTATTTACACAGGGACCGGCTCGGCTCGACTTTAGCGTGAGCGGGCACATAGTGCCCTTATAAGTCCCAGTCCCAGCCTTTTCCTTCTTTCTATCTACGGCCGCAGAGAACTATGTACCATGTACCCAACATCCAAACGTACATTCCCGTCTATAAGTCTTTAGAAACTTATGAACAGTTCTTGAAACTTACTAAGAATATAAAAATATTGTAAAATTAAATCTTATTAGTGTGATAAGTTTATTGAGTAAATATGTCAGATGCGTTTAATGTTCAATGTCGTTAATAATTATGTATGGTGAAACCATAAATATTCATACGCATTTCAAAA